TGTACGTAGAAAATTTGAAAGGCGAATTTGGAAGTTTGGTGAACAGTTCAGTAGCTACGCTAACGAGAAACGGCTGTTAAGCGCTGGCCTCAACCTATGCGACGAAGAATTTGTTGAATACCTCGTAGACGGCATTCCTCATAAACAATTGCAGATACAAGCCAAGCTTCAGAATTTTAAAAGTGCTGGTGAGGTGACTAGAGCATTTCGGACTGTCGAGTTGCCGCGACGAGCCGCACCAAAAACGAATTTACAAAGTGGTGAAGAGCGGCTAAGGTGCTACAACTGCAATTGCTCCGGCCACATCGCAAAAGAGTGCAGCAAGCCTAAGCGCGAATACGGGACGTGCTTTGCGTGTGGCGAACGCGGACATTTTGCGGCGAGCTGCAAAAACTACAAGAAGTCGACATCCAGTAGCAATTTTAATGCCTAGTCGATTCGGGGAGCCCAATAAGCTCACGTATATATATGCTGAGCAGAATCAGGTGATTCTATTCATCAGGATGGCCGAGCTGTAGTAGCGTTGTATAGGCTAGCTTAAGTAATAGATTAATAAATCATGTAAATCATTGTAATAGTGTAATAGTCCCTTTAGCATATTTTTAGTACACGAATAGTGTAACTAGACCTTAAGATATAGTTATAAGACACCATCTTGTGAAAAGAAAAGAATAAAAGAGGACATTCCAATTTGAGCAGCGAAAGGAGAAGGTGTTTTATTTAAAACCCGGCTACCACTTTATTAACTTAAACCTGTACATTTCAACGGGAAAGTCCTCCTTTTTGACCCATTTTCCTGGTAATTTATTTATTTTATACCGGAGGCCAAATGTTCCTTATTTCTTTCAATGTCCTGTATTTCTCTCTTATTCGCTGTTCCGACGCCTTAACAGCTAAATGGCTTGCCCATAAACGTGTTTTAAGTGATGTTGGTATATAATCGTAATTTTCTTTATAAACAATTTTTATTTTCTAATTTGAATGCCTGTGATTCGAATCGGGGAAAACATACAGTGGCCAAAATAGAAATTAGGACTCGACGTTTTAGTAGTTATGGCTATTTTTCTGTTNAATTTAGAATGTACATTTGGTATCAGACATACTTCTGAGCCGCTTTACAAAGTAAGTTACGTGTAATGCAGAGAAGTCGCTCGGAGTAGTTCGGCGCTTGGAGATAACTTCGGCTGCACGTTACTTTGCAACTGACAACGTAATGTGTCGTTGGAGGTGTTCATTTTGTGCTTTACTAGTAGATGACATTGGCCATGATGACAATTTTGGTACTAAAAACTGAAAGAAAACATGGCTTACCTCGTAAGGTGCTTACCTATTTTCCCAGTGGGTTGTATGAAAAAAATGCCTAACACCCTCACAAAAAAAATCCAAATATTTGTGGTAAGCCTTATTGACTGCCTGCACTTTACTATACTAAAATTTAACAAATTTTTTTAACTGAGTTTACGAGGTAAAAATCTCGAGAAAATTATGCTACAAATTTGTAATGTTACCATAAGGATACTGTTTCAGGGAAAACAGTGTAGAAAAAATTTGCAAAATTATTTTTTGTCCCGTATTCGGCTCTCATAAATATGGTCACCGTATATATCGATGTTCTTATCTCGATGTAGATTTCTCTGTTCCAAAGTTCCTTGACCTCAAGTAGCTTCTTCTAGTACTTATCCACCAGATCCCACTTCTTATCACCCTAACGTATCACCCTAACGCCAGTAAATTAAAACTCACCAAATATTATGAAACTTTTGCTCAAGAAGTATTTTGATCCGAAGGCGAATTCGATTTTTTTTCTGGCCAAACGTGAGGGCCGCTTTTTGTAATTTTTCGTCATATCTTTGGCATTTACAGCCAGATCTTAATGTACGTTGATATATCGATGTTTTTTTTTCGAGGAGATAATTTCTTTTGTACGAAAGCTCACTGAACTTAAGTACTCGGTTCCAGTACTTGCCCACCAGATCATCTCAACTTCTACGACAAGAATAAAAAAAATGGTTCCTAAATTTACTTCAACGCGTTTTATGGTATTTCTAAGAGGTTAAAGGATTCAATTACGAGTAGGTTTAAGTAAATAGAAGAGTTCTGAAGAATATTTGAGCAGTCGCTAGCGAACTTTTACAGAAAAACCACGGATATACTTTTGTATATAATAGTAAGTAATGCCAGTATTGGTATATCAAGAGATACATATAACTACTTTTGTATTTGCAGATATCTCGGATGGACCCTGGGTCTTCTGCCTGCACTCGCTAAGCCAAATAAAAGTCCAGCTATCCAGGAGCAGTCCTCAGGCGGCCACAGAAAGTTGTATACTCGTCCTTAAGGTAGGACGAAATCGGGGGTGTTATGCCTAGTGAATTCATTAGACATACAATATCGTTGCACCCCCGAACACAAATCGGCCTGATATGGACGTAATTCGAGCTAACAGATTAGTTCAAATCGCGCCACAAGCGATTCTAGAGTACTGATTGCCATTTGGGCGTCACATCAAATAGCTTTAGCAGCTACCACAATTTAAGGTTGATGGAAAGCTCCTTGGAAAAGACCCCTCCAATAATTCTTTCACCAAGCTCCGAACATCTGTGTGATGTGCGTGGAATAAGAGCTAGAATGATGAGGTTAATGCAATAGTAAATAACAAATAGCCTGAAAGAGGTTTAGTAAATGTGATTTCTACTATTCGCATGACCAGGGAAAAAATTAGTTAAATTAATTTAATTAGAAAAATGCAGGAGATTAAAATGTTTATAACACTTTTTTATGATTAGCGTATCAACCTTGGTCGACAGGTTGTATGGGTTACCTGTCAATTCTCTTGCCTCTAATAATTAGCATCTAATTGACACCTCCCAGCAAAGCAATGAAAGACTCGTCGATTTTGTGGAATTCCTATTTAGAATCTTTTCAGTACTCTAATTAAAGTAATTATTACTTATAAAATTTTTTTTGAACAACCCCTGTACTATGATTCACGGGAATCTCAGCAAAATGCATGATGTAATTCAAAGTAAGTTTTCATAATCCACCAACTCTTTGTGACTTCTTGAAAAGTAGATTAATATGAGAGCGGATGCATATAAATGTATGTATGTATGTATGTGAGTGATAAAGCGTGTAAGTAGATTTAAAATGAATTTGTTTGTTTTACGAGGAAATTAATATTCGTGCGATCAACTGGAAAACCACATAAGTGTGCGTGCATATATATGTATACAAGAAAATGCATTACCTATACTATATGCTATAGAATGCACGCCAATTAACAGCTGAAAAAGCGCTTCCTATTATGCGAACAGCTTGCTATTGGTGTTGCTAGGAAATATTAGCAGTTACTTGTTAATATTCGATTTGTTTACATGCGCCTAATCTATAGGTCAAGAACATTGCTTACCGAAGGCATTTGAAAGTGCATTGAATTCGCGCGATTTTCTTTGGCTGAATTTGTTTTGTATTTATTGTTTTGTTTTATTTGCTTTGCTTTGCGATAGTGTTTAATCTGATTAATATTAACTAACCAAGCGTAATTTAATCGTCAATTTTACTAATTGAATATATGTATATGTATGTACATATATTAGGGTGTCCATCAGATTTTTTTTTTGAAATTTCAAGACCCTACCACCTAACTTCTTTCCTTTTATGGAAATTTTATTGCCTATTTTCATAAATTTTTTAAAAATCATTTTAGGCTTGAAAGCAGGTTTTGTAAATTTATCAGTCTTTGAATATGATTTTTCATTCAAGTTTAAAGATCGAACATGTTGTGAGAAGAGGAGTTATAGGCCTTTAAAATGATCTATAATAATCTATTGTCGGACTGGGATTGTTGGGATTTTTCTTCGCAATCGCATTAAAGTTAGATAACTTTTAATTAATACGGTCTTGAATTTGTTTAAAATAGATTTAATTTTAGATAGTACTACATACTTTGAAATTGTGAAAATAAGTGATAGTCAAAAAAAAAAAAATAGGAAAAAATGTTTTTTTATTTTTTTATTTGCCCGATAAAACTCCCAACGATCCAACCCTGACGATAACTGGATTATTATAAATCATTTTAAAGGCCTATAACTCCTCTCCTAACAACATGTTTGATCTTTAAAATTGAATGAAAAATAGTCATTCAAAAACTAATAAATCTCAAAACCGTATATACTGACGTAAAATGACAAGCCGCAACCTCTTAATGATTTAAAAAATCTATAAAAATAGGCAATAATATTCATCATAATTAGATACAAAATTTTTTCGATGGGCACCCTAATGTATATATATATATTTAAACATATTATATTGCTTTACACGAATACATGTGTGTATATATGCAACGTATGTACATATGTATGGCTGTACTTACAGATACAACAGACTGCCAACATGCGCGCCGAATCATCTGGTGGTTGACATTCCGGAAAGAAAGGCTTCAGCACATATACGCTGAAGGTGAGCGCTACAATTGCCTGTGAGCATGGCCGCACAATCATACATTCGATCCAGAGACGTATGAAGGCCATAAAGGGACCAAATGTTTCCATAATGTAAGCATAATCCGCACCAGATTTGGTAATCATTGTACCCAGTTCGGCATAGCAGTAGGCACCAACCTATTAAAGATATGACAAAGCAATTGAAAGCGTTAAAAATATCTATTGTTAAACTAGAAAGCATTTGAAATTTAATATCGTTAATAATAGTAGTAGTGAAAGGTAATCTTGCTGACCACCAGAAGCCAGAAACTACCAGCCGTTCTCTGTGGGGTATCAATAATTATTAAATTTAATTGCATACATATCATTTGTATAGATGGAAAGGGCATAACTCACATCGTCGCTGAAATACAAAAACCGTAACTACTAAAAATCCAAATTCACTTTTTATTAATCGTAATGCATTTCTCGAATTATAAGTCCCCACATCGTTTTATGCGATACAAATTTTTAGTTAGTTATGGCTTTTTGCATTTCAGCGTCGATGTAAGAACGCCGTTCCATACTATACTAATGATATATATGCAATTAAATTTAAAAATTTACTTGATACCCCACAGAGAAACGCGCTGCCGCTAGTACTCTGGCGCTGGTGGTCAAAAAGATACCAGAGACCGAAAATAACTGGTACACAATAAAAACATTTTTACTTGTTCTATCTTTAACCATTTATGAAAGAGGTTTTGTTGAACAGGTGTGTTAATAATAATAAAAGATTGTCGCTTACAAATATGTAATATTTGGCCGAACTTCTCCTGTAAAGCTCAAAGGGAAAGGACCTACATTTTTACCCGACTCCGAAAGGCGTTGTATGTTTATGAGAAGCTGTTTCTCATTGCAAAGATACATTCGGGGGTTTGCCATTGCCTGCCTAGGGGCTTCCGCTATTAGAAACAACTTTTCATTTTTATTTTTTGATGTTGTTCGGAAACTGTGCCCAGGCCGCGCGGAATGGTAGCGCGCATTGCTTACCACTACATCACAGCGGCCGCCCCCCATGAATAGAAAATAGGGCCTATCGCCTTCTCTCTCCTTCTTAAAAAAGGTTGGACGTGTACATAGAGATATCTACTAGGATAATCATCAACAATTTCTGGACGAACAGAATAGCAGACCAGTACTTCGGAGCGAATATAAAAATCATTATTTAGGTCGCAGGCTATCTGGAGGGCATGATAAAATCTGACTTGGAGCAAAAAACGAGCTAGACCTTATGACATCGAAGGCGACATGAGTTTTACCCCTCCATGCCTCCTAGTCATTTCTGAGCGAAGTGTTCACCCAGTTTCTGATGATTGCTTCGATGGCGAAGGTGGTAGTGATATACATAACTAGTTGCGGACTGAGGCATGCCTGGTTTGAGTAGTCCCGAGTGACCTGGAAACCAGAGTAAAGCAAGCTCGCTATGTTAACCAACATAATTTAATCGAGACTTGCATTGTCGAACTTTTCTCCATCACTTAGTCCATGGCCTTGAAGAATGTGAATACCACAGCCTGGAAGATCAGCGCATGTTACCCAAGAGAAAACCAAAGCAAGAGAAAATTAAAGCATTCGGCCTCAGGGAACTCAACATTATAGAATCTCTTCAACAAAGGTAATTAGTGACATACGTTCCTGCGGCATTGAAAACACACGACTGCTCAGATCTCTGCTGCCAGCAATTTCCGCCTTGCCCCACTTAAAAAAGAGATAACACTTAACCAAAAATGTTACCAAACTGAAAAATAAATTATCAAAGAAGAATAAATTATAAAGCAAGAAAAAATTACCAAAACGGCAACGCTGATAGCGATTTGAAAATTGACGCTAACTCGTTAAAGAATCTCCGCACTTGTATCGCAGACAATTTAGCATATTTACAAAATTTCAACAGCTTTTATCTTAACATCATTGACTTCATTCCAGTATAGCGCTGGAATAATGTTATAGGGAATAAGATACATTTATCTTGCTTGGATTTTCGTCAAGTCTCATCATATTCGTTGAGGCCGAGCAACCGTGCCGTTTCTATACCGTCGCCTAATATAATCCCGTTGCTAACTAGTGCCGTCAGGTTGAAAGCAGATACGAAGAAATGCCCGAGAGGTATTGGTAAAATTGTGCCATAAAATTCTTAATTTTCCATCCAGAATATGTAAACTGCTGGCAAAAAGTATTGGCACAGCAAATTTTTCACAATATATGTACAAATTTCTATTCCAAAATTTTATCGCAAATTTTTCATAAAAATATGGCTCATCATGCAACAAAAATCATAAAAATATAATTCTTTAACTTCGTGAAAAACTTACGAACATTTAGCAAATTTTCATGCGAACTATCAACTTTTTATTCAGATTTTT